AAATAATAAAAGCAGGCATCTCCTCTCTTGATGTCATTGAAAACTGAAATGACAGCAGTCTCACCTAAAATTTAATACAAGGCCTTGCAAGTAGCTGATGGCCTTGGTAGAGGAGAGATCCCACTCAAGACAATGGACCATGACCCCTGTACAATTCTATGGTCATCATCAACACCACCACCACCATTATCATCATCGTTTGCCTATTTATAATTAATTTTCTCAGTTATAGTAGATGTTGGTGTTGTACACATATAATGACCATTTATTTCAAATGTTGCTCAATTTTTATAATTGTTAAGTAAAATATGTAGCCACACTTTATTTTCTTTTCCATTTGATGTCAGTAAATTGATGGCTCCTTCCTGCCTCTTCTCACTTGGCCTCGCATGGAAATCTGAAAAGGAACATTGGGTCTCCTCTACAGATGTCAATAAGAGGTTGAAACCACACAAGGCTCTGTAGGAAGAATTCCTTCCCCCTCTCCCACCAGTTTAACAAAATAAAATCCCTGGGCCAGTCTCCTTTCCTGGCTCCATCAAAACAGGTCTGACTTCCTAAAGAGCCTTTCCTGTGCCTCACATATATTTCAACTATGAGCACAATGATCATCCCATTTCCCTTGGTGTGTGTATTTGTCATCAGCCTGGACATCTTCACCAAGCTGCTGTGGGTCCCTCTTCATCTGCCTGGTGTCACCTACTCTCCGAGCTATGAGCTTGATGACAATTCAATACCCAACACCACCAAGGTCCTTCTTCTCTAACTTTGGGTTCACATACCAGTGGTGGCCTCTGTCCAGCATTCAGGTGAGCTGCACTGTTTAGTAATCAGAGTCTCTGGTTAGATTTAGGGGCCGTGGATCAGCAGATTTGATCATTAATTGCCATTTGGGCAAAAGAGTATTTGAAAGAGACTCACTGTTTATTGTCCATGTGAGAAAGTTGTCTCTCTTTACAACAGAATTTTTATCTGAGACTTCAGAGGTAAGCGCAGAGTCAGGAATCCAGAAAGGTTCCCTGAGGGAAACTGTGACATGAAGGGGAAACCACACAGGAAACCAGCCCAAACCTCCAACTGCACCTGCTGCTGGGATGGTCCTTGTGTTCAGGGACCCTGAGCGCCCCCTGGTGGTCACAGCCTCTCCTGCAGGGAGGTTTGTGTTTGACTACCCCTCACTGTGTCTCTAACACAGTAATACATGGCCATGTCCTAGGTTCCCAGGCTGTTCATTTGAAGATACAGTATGTTCTTGGCATTGCCTCTGGATTGTAAATCGGCCCTTCACAGAGTCTGCATAGTATTTCTGACTTCCATCATTCCATATAACTGCCACCAACTCTAGCCCCTTCCCTGGAGCCTGGAGGATCCAGCTCATCCTGTAGTTACTGAAGGTGAATCCAGAGGCACACAGGAGAGTCTCAGAGACCCCCAGGCTGCACCAAGCCTCCCCCAGACTATACTAGCTGCACCTCACACTGGACACCTGCAAACACAAAGATGTCCTGGTCAGGAAACTCTCACATGTCCACTGTTTCTCTCACTCATGACCAGTCACATACTCAGTGCTTCTTATTCTCCATAAATTACCTCTTAAAAGAGCCACAAGGAAAACCCAGCCAAACCCAAACTCCATGGTGAGTGGTCTGTGTTGAGTCCTGATCTGGCAATGAGAACACTGGGGATTCTGGGGCTGGGCTCCTTTCCTAGAGCTAAAGGGTCAGGGCTGTCCTGATTTTTATGAGCAGAGGGGCCCCTATTTGTATGTCCTCCTACTATATAGGGGGCTCTAGAGTTAGACACTGACATAATGGACATGGTCTTAGAGTCTGACATGTCCAAGGGTGCTGTTTATTAAGAATTACCTTCCACATCTGGGCCTGTGCCTTCCCCACTGGATTTAACTGCTGCAAGTGACCTGTACAAAGACCCAGGAGATAAAATTTTCATGAAAAGAAGAGAGAAGATTTAAAATGAGAGATGCCTTTTGCAGTCACCAGTATTGAATCCAAGAGAAAACAACCCTCATAATGCAAGAAAGAAATAAATGTGCAGGAGGTTCATGTTCAGGACACAGGAAGTTCCATCTGACACTATTTTCCCTACAAAGTGATCAGAGGATCAACTAAGACCAAAGTGTTCACCTAGAGCAGTGGTTCTCAACATTCCTAATGCTGCAACCTTTTAATACAGTTCCTCATGTTGTGGTGACCCCCAATTTCATTGTTACAAATTGAACATAATTAAAGCATAGTGATTTATCACAAAAACAGTATGTCATTATACATGTGTTTTCTGATGGTCTTAGGCAATCCCTGTGAAAGGGTCGTTTGACCCCCAAAGGGGTTGCGACCCACAGGTTGAGAACCGATTACTAGAGCAGGGGTCCTCAAACTTTTTAAACAGCAGGCCGGTTCACTGTCCCTCAGACCGTTGGAGGGCCGGACTATAGTTTTAAAAAAAACAACTCTGAACAAATTCCTATGCACACTGCACATATCTTATTTTGAAGTAAAAAAAACAAAATGGGAACAAATACAATATTTATATTTGCATGTGGCCCGCGGGCAGCAGTATGAGGACCCCTGATCTAGAGCCAGTGGTCCAAGTGATGGGGGAGAGATGAGTTTCTGTGTGGGTCCCTGGGAGCCATAAGTGTGAACTTTAGAGACACAGACAGAGCTCCTGGTTCATTGTCCTTCAGGGGAGTTTAGTGCTTGACGTGTAGCTGCTGCACAGCCTCCTTTGTGGAGTTTATTCTGTATGCTCACTTGTGAGACTTGTGTCTATCATTTGTGATGTAGATGGATTCTTGTTTCATTAGGTTGTCATCTCATGGGTGTTTAGCCAGTTCACATTTTCTTCCCTCACTTTCTTCTGAAACAGACCACATATTTCCTAGAGTCATGAAGACATGCTGTTGAGAGTGTGCAGGAGCACAAGACATTTGTTGTTGGTTTTGTACCTTATACCTTTCCTAAATTCTAGTTCTATTATCTTCTCATACAGTTTTTAGGGTTTTCTATGTACAAGATCATGTCATCTGCATACAGTTTAGAAATATTTTAACTTGTTTCTCTCTGATTTAGACATTTGAAATTTCCTTTTCTTTTCTAATTATTCTGACAAGGACTTCTAGCTTTGATGAATATAAGTAGTCACAGGGGATCCCTTGTCTTGGTCCTTAAGTAAGAAGAAAAGCTTTGAAATTTTTTGTGTAGCATGCTGTCACTTGGTGTCTCAAATGTGGCCTTTATTCTATTGAGTTCCATCACTTGTACACCTAACCTGTTAAAAATTGTAAGTCTGAAGCGATTTTTATTTTTAAAGGCTTTATTTTGTATCTAATTATATGGTGGTATACATTATCCTTCATTCTGTGGATGAGAGCTATCACATTTTCTGATTTACATACATTGAGCTATCCTTCCATGGTGGTAAGGTATCCCACTTGATCATGGTATATTATCCTTTCTGTATGCTGGTACATTTCCTAGAGTATCATTGAAGATTTTTCCATTTATGTTCCTCTGGGACACTGATCTGTCATTTTTATGTGTCCTTACATGGCTTGGTATCAGTGTAATGCTCAGCTCAATAAATATCTTTGGAAATGTTGCCCCTTCTTTTAATTCTTGGAAGAGTTCAAGAAGAGTGGATTAAAAAGTTATCAATTCTTCTTTGAAATTCTGAGTCCATTTGACCCTTGGATATTTTCTATTAGAAGGTTTTCACTATTACTTCAAGTGTGTGTGTGTGTGTGTGTGTGTGTGTGTGTGTGTGTGTGTGTGTGTGTTTAATTCATAACAATCTAGCAATGTTGGAATCAAATCCCTAATTTGAGCTCCTACCAAGTGGACTGAGAAACACAACTGCTGATCTTCATAGAGTGTTTTCAATGTTGAAATAATAGTTGCTTGCAGACCACATATTTATTTCATATGGAATCCAAGAGAATGAAATATAACCACATTTTATTATTTAGAATTCATAAAGTACAGTGTGTAATGAGATGAATGGTTTTGTATCACTGCTCATGTGTGAATGCATGTCTTTTCCAGAAATGAGTATGCAACTGAGTGTGACTGTGTTTGTAACTATGTGTGTCTGTGTTTCTGACTGCTTGTGACTCTATGTGTGGGACTATGTGACTCTGTGTTTCCTGGGGAAGTAGTAAGAAGAGGGTATGGATGCAGGGGGTCCCATGGGCAACTCCTTGGCTCCTGATGCACATCTCACCCCCAGTGAAGTTAGAAAACCTTGGATCCAGGAGGAAAGCTGAAGGGACACGTTCTATGATGCACATCCCAGCTCTCAGGGTCACCTGTCCCTACAATGGGGTTAGCACTGCTTCCTGCAGGACAGCAGGGCCCCCTCCTGTGGGTGGATGTGGGGCTCCCTGTGTTTGGTGCACTGAGCTGACAGCTCTTCTGGGGGTCAATGTGGATCCAGAGAGGATGGGTGAGGTCCACCAGCCCTGAGTGAGCTCAGGCCTTTTAGCAGAGGGAGGGCCCTGTGATCTCCCTGGAACCAGGATGGGAGAGAGTACATGGAAAGACAGACCCTGAGAGAGCTGTGACCGTGAAGGGATGGAAGCAGAGCAGTGAACACAGCCCAATGCCAGCAACATACCTGCGGGGTTTACACTCATCAGTGAAACATTGAAAAGTTAGTGAAAAAAGTCACTTTTAGAATTTGTGAAGGAGACTTGGTGAAGGAGAGTCCCCATCGCTGCTAACAAGTCACCTGCAAACAGACAATCTCCCTTCTTCCTTGTTGTCTGCAGTGAGAATATGAGAAGGAAGAATCATCCCTGGAGGCAGCTGAGAGCTTGAGAGGAAATCCCTGAGCCCAACAAAAAGGCCCTTCCCTCCCCACCTCCCTCTGCTCCTGCTCCTGGGGCTGCTCTCTGTGCTGTGGGTCCTGAGTGCCCCGTGGTTTCCCCAGAGCCCCCTGAATCCCAACCCTGCTGCCTCCCTCAGGGAGGTTTGTGTCTGTGCTCACACTGACTTCCTCTCACTGTGTCTCGCACAGTAATACACAGCCATGTCCTCAGTGGTCACAGAGCTCAGCTGCAGGAAGAACTGGTTCTTGGATGTGTCTCTGGAGATGGAGGTTCGGCTCTTGAGGGAGGGGCTGTAGTAAGTGTCTCCATCATAACGTATGCACCCCATCCACTCCAGCCCCTTCCCCGGGGGCTGGCGGATCCAATTCCAGCAGTAATCACTGGTGATGGAGTAACCAGAGACAGTGCAGGTGAGGGAGAGGGTCTGTGAGGGCTTCACCAGTCCTGGGCCCGACTCCTGCAGCTGCACCTGGGACAGGATACCTGGGGACAAGGAGCATAAGTCCCTGTCAGTCACATGCAGTCACCCACATCCCATGACCCCTGCCTGACCCATGAGACCCTCACCTTGGGGGGCTGTCACCAGGCACAAGAGAAGACCCAGTAGCCTCATCTTCTTCTAGACCACAGCTCTGCCTTCCCAGAGACCTCAGCCCTGTGTGAGGAGAGAGCTGTGAGCCTGCACAGCCCAGGAGAGGATGTACCCTGGAGCTTGAACAGAAATTTGCATGTGGGGCAGCCCTTTTCTTATAAGGGAAGGGCCTTCGGTCAGGCTACCCTGGTCTTCCTGGGGCCTGTGTGGGGTGCCTCTTCTCTTGACCTCAATCAACATGTAAGTCAGGAACAGGGGACCACATCAGTCATGAGACACATTGGATTCAGGTCAAAGCACAGCCTCACCTTTCTGAGCATAAGAAGAAATATGGAGTAGATGAGCAGGTTACACTTTCACCTTCTCAGGCATCTTTTAAACAGATGCAAAAGGGATTAGCATTTGTTCAGACCATTTCTCAATCTGAACACTCTAGTGTATACAATTTCCAAATTTTTATTTCATACCAATAATTTCTACCTTTGTGCAAAAAAGAAAAGATAAAGGATAGTCATTCCGAATATCTTATACATTAATCTATAAGTTACTTTGATCTGAGATACTACCTCTCAAGCACAGGAAGGTGGGACATTCTTGACTCTTATTGGAAACTTTGTGATTGTGTCTACAGCTTCCTGTGCAAACTCTTCCTTTGTTCAAGCCCATAGCCTATTGCAGAGACCCCCTAACTAGTTACATCAGCAATAGTCATGGCTCTGAGTGAAGAAAGATAAGAAATAACAGCAGTGATCATGTATGTGTACAACTCAGAATCATTCATATGTTGAAATTATGATGGAAGAACTTTGACCTGTTTTCTTATTTTAGTGTTATCAGTGATGTTGAGGCTCAGAGGGAGGTGAGGGAAGAGAATTCCTACCATAGAATTTCTCACAGGAAAGGAATCCTTCACCCCCAGCCTCCCTCTGCCTACCCCTGGGAGTTCACTATGGTCACAGGGTGCTGGTCTCTCCCACAAACATATACATCCTTAGTGTGTAATTTATATGCTCTCATATCAGACATATGATTTGGAAATTTGTTTGTTATGTTTTATTTTGCTTAATGAAATCTTTTATGAGACAAAATTCTTTAATTTTAACCAAGGCTAATTTAATAATATTTCCTTTAATGGGACCTGTTTTGGGTGATTTTACAAAGAACTCCCCAGAAAATGCTGAGCTCCACTGTCCATGTGGATTGGCTACAGCAGCCACAGGGACTGGAGCAGGTTCTGGTACCAGAAGAGAGCACTGCTGGGAAACTACCCATAACTCTGGACGTGACTGTGGAATTGGGTGAGGGGAGGAAGCTGGACTTGTTTTGAGTCACATGACAAATATGCCTGCTGTTCATGGACAGACAGTTACTGGGCATGTGAGTTTAAAGCTTCCTTCCACCCTAGCTGGTTTTGCTCAATGGATAGAGCATTGGGCTATAGATAGAGAATAGTTTCAGGTTTGATTCCAGTCAAGGCACATGCCTGGGTTGCGGGCTCGATCCCCCATAGGGGGCGTGCAGGAGGCAATCAATCAACAATTCTCTCCCATCATTGATGTCTCTATCTCTCTCTCCCTCTCCCTTTTCTCTGAAATCAATAAAAATATACTTTAAAAAAAGCCTCCTCCAGTGAAGGCCTAGAAGGAAGTGTAAGGCATGATAGAGACAGCTTGTATCATTGTAGGAATTACCTAAATTAGCATGAACAGGAGTTTGTTAGAAATAAAAATATGAAAGATTACCCTGGTAGGGATCAAGAGAAACTAGGAACGTGTCATTGCAAACTGGTGGGAATGGGATCCCTCTTTCCTACATGCACGTTCTCACAGTGTCTCTGTTCTAGACCATTACTATAGATCTCACACCTTCTGAGGTCCAGGGGTCTGTACTTGGACATCTTTGTGATCCTTACTCACGTGATCACACCATGCATCATCCAAGCTGCATAATTCATTGGGGTCCCATTTATGAAATCTCTCAACACTTACAGGGAAGAGTGGACACCCCTCACTGGAGGAGCCATGGTCATGGTGTGCCTGTATGTGGAGCCATCATTTCATTGGACCAAATCCCTGTCTAAATCTGTAGTTGCTGTCCTTTTTTAAGTGTGTGACTCTTAAAAAACAAACAAACAAACAAACAAAAAAACTGTCTTGTTTGAAGTGTTACATAAGTCTCCCCTTTCTCCTATCAAGCCTCGTCTACATCATCATCAATATCATCATTATCACCATCATCACCATTTTCTTACTTAAAATTGTTCTTCTCATTTTCTATAGACAAGCTGGTTGTCCACTCACAATGACTTTTTATAGGAAAAGAAAGCAGGTGTCTCCTCTTTGGATGTCATTGGGAAATTGAAACCCCAAAGGCCCAACTCTAAGTTGACACAAGGCCTTCTAAAAACTGGTGACCTTGGATAAAGTACAGATTCCCACAGACATTGGAACAGAGAGTTACTGTTGTACAATTTTATTATCACCATCACCGCCTCCACCACCATGACCAAAATCATCATCATCATGATCACCTTCATCATCCTCATCCTCATTTTCTTACTTATAATTATTCTCCCCATTTTCTGTAGCCCTGGATTTTGAATACACATAATGACACTTTATTTCAACTTTTTCACATTTTGTATAGTTGTTAAGAAAAATATGTACCCATACCCTATTTTATTTTTGCTTGACTGCTGACAACTGATGCCTTATTCTTGCCCCTTCTCCATCTGACAAACAGGAGAAATCTGATAAGAAATCAGGGTTTTGTCTTCAGATGTCATTGGGGGATTGAAACCACTCAAGCCCCTGGAAACAGAATTCATTCCCTCCCCCATCTCTTTGAAAATAATAGAGCAGAAAGCCAGTCTCCTTTCCTGATTCCATCCAAGCAGGTCTGACCAGATGAAGGGCCTTCTCTGTGCTTCCCTGAGCTTTGAACTGTGTGCATAATAAACATCCCATGTCCCCTTGTGTGTGTATTTGTCATCAGCCTGTACATGTGAACCAAGCTTCTGTGGGTCCATATGCCTCTGCCTAGTGTCACCTACTCTTGATGCTATGAGCATGATGACAAGTCAATGATTGTAACCACCGTGAATTCTTCATTTCAGGCTTTCAGGTCACATGCCTCTGGTGTCTGCTTTCCAACACAATCACGTCCTGCTGCTGGCTGGGACCCTGAGCTTTGTGGGGCTGAGCTGCATGGTTGAGTCAGCAGAGCCTCTGGTTGTATTTAGCTGACTTGATTCAGAAGATTTAATCATTAATTGGTACTTGGCACAAGAGCATCTGAAATAGACTCTCTATGATATTTGTCCATTTGAAGAAGTTGTCTCTGTTTACAACAGACTTTTCTAACTCAGAGACTTCAGAGGTAAGTGCAGAATCAGGAATGTAGACAGATTCCCTGAGGGAAACTGTGATATGAAGAGGAAACCATACAGGAAACCAGTCCAAATCTCCAACTGCACCTGCTGCTGGGATGGTCCTTCTGTTCAGGGACCCTGAGCGCCCCCTGCTGGTCACAGCCTCTGCTGCAGGGAGGTTTGTGTCTGGGCTCACACTGACTTCCTCTCACTTTGTGTCCCTTGCAGAATAATAAATGGCTGTGTCCTCGGCTCTCAGGCTGCTGAGCTCCATGTAGGCTGTGCTTGTGGATATGTCTCTGGTCATGGAGACTCTGCCTTGGAACTTCTGTGCATATTTTGTGTTCCTATTGTTAGGGTAAAACCACCCCATCCACTCATGCCCCTGCTCTGGGGCCTGTAACACCCAGTGCATCCAGTAGCTGGTGAAGGTGTATCCAGAAGCCTTGCAGTAGACCTTCACGGAGGCCCCAGGCTTTCTCACCTCAGCCCCAGACTGCACCAGCTGCACCTGGGAGTGGACACCTGTGGGGAGGAGACAGGAGTGGGTGGAAATCCCCCTTGACTCTCCCTGGACCCTCCTTAACCCAGGACAGGAGCCCCTTACCTGTAGCCATGGCCACCAGGAGGAGGGTTCTCCAGCTCCAGTCCATGGTGAGGGGCTGTGCTGTGAGCACTTCTGTAGGGGAAGGTGTGGCTGTGGGTGATGCCCTCAGGGCACAGACTTACCCATATTTAACCTAGTCTACCCCCTCTCTTTTGCATATTCATGAGGCAGAGTATTTCATAGCTGAGGTCTTGACCCCACCTGAGAGAAGATGGGTGACACAGGGACCATGCTCAGTGGTAGACTGAGTCTCCAGGTCCTCATTCTTTTTTAAAAAAATGTATCTTCATTGTAGAAGGTATTACATATGTCCTGTTTTATCTCCCAATGACCCCTTCTAGCCCACCCCAACCCTCTGCCCATGGCCTTCACCAGCCTATTGTCTGTACCTATGAATTATACATATATGCATAGGAGTTCTTTGGTTGATCTCTCCAGACCCTCCCGCCCTCCCCTACCTTCCCTCTGAGATTCCACAGTCTGTTCCAAGCTTCTAAGTCTCTGGATCCATTTTGTTCATCAGTTTATTTTGTTCATTAGATTCCATATATGAGTGAGATCCTGTGATACTTGTCTTTCTCTGACAGACTTATTTCACTTAGCCTGATACTCTCCAGGTCCCTCCAAGCTATCTCAGGGCAAGAGATCCTTCTTTTTTTATAATATATTTTATTGGTTTTTTACAGAGAGGAAGGGAGAGGATTAGAGAGTTAGAAACATCGATGAGAGAGAAACATCGATTAGCTGCCTCCTGCACACCACTTACCAGGGTTGTGCCCGCAACCAAGTTACATGCCCTTGACCGGAATCGAACCTGGGACCCTTCGGTCCACAGGCCAATGCTCTATCCACTGAGCCAAACCAGTCAGGGCGAGATCCTTCTTTTTTATGGATGTACTGTAGCCTGGTATACGGAATCCCTGCATGAGGTCGGGGGAGGGGGTGAGGGTGTCCTAGGCCTGGCCTTTTGGGGCTTTCCTTCCCCTGGCTGTCAGCAGCTTGCCCAGCTCCCCTGCTGACACTGCTTGCAATCTGTGCAGCGTTGCTTCCCCTCCCCCACCACCCATTGCCTCCATCTGCTGGACAGGCATGGGGTGCCATCGCTTGGCTGACGTGGGCCTCCCTCTGCAGTGAAATCACTGGCCACCTGCCACAGCATTGCTGGCTGGTGGCCTGGTCCTCCCTCTGTGGGGAAATCGATGGAGGGGACCCCCAGATCCATAGCCCTGCAGAGGGAGGCCCTGCCCACTCGCCTCAGCACAGCCAGTAGGGTGGTCTGGACCTCCCTCTATGGGGTGATGTTTGGGCGATGGCGGGGCCAATTGCATCTCACCTGCCTTGGCTGGCCTGGCACCGGTGCATGTCATAGCGTGGTCATCCGGAAGGTCGTCCAGACGGTCTTTCTGCTGTTCAGTTTGCGTATTACGCTTTCATTATTATAGATAATAATTTGTTGTATAAATATACCACAGATTTTTTATCCACTCATCTACTGATGGTCTCTTGGTCTGTTTCCAGGTCTTAGCTATTATAAATTGTGCTGCTATGAACACAGGGGTGCAGACATTCCTTCTGATTGATGTTTCCAGTCCCTTAGGATATATTCCTAGAAGTGGGAACACTGGGTTAAATGACAGTTCCATAGTTAATTTTTTGAAGAAAAACCATAGTGTTTTCCATAGTGGTTGCACCAGTCTCCATTCCCACCAGCATTGTACCTGGGTTCATTTTTTCCACATCCTCAAGTGCTCCACACACAACTTGTTGGTTTGTTTATGATGATCATTCTAACAGGTGTTGGGTGATACCTCACTTTTTTTATAATTTGCATCTCTTGGATAATTAGTGACTTGAGCATATTCTCATATGTCTCTTGGTCATATGTATGTTCCCTTTGGGGAAGTGTTAATTTAGGTCCTTTGTCCATATTTTAATTGGTTTGTTTGTTTTCCTTTTGTTAAGTTGTATGAGTTCCTTATATATTTTGAATATTAACCCTTTATCAGATGTATCCTTGCCAAATATGTCCTCCCGTACAGTGGCCTCCCTTTTCATTTTGTTGATGGTTTCTTTTGCTGTGCAGAAGCTTTTTATGTTGATGTAGCCCCATTTGTTAATTTTCTACTTAGTTTCCTTTGCCCTAGGAGATATACCTGTAAACATATTGCTATGAGAGATGTCAGATTTTGCTGCCTATGGTTTCTTCTAGTGTTTTTATAGTTTTCCAACTTACATTTCAGTCGTTATCTATTTTAAGTTATTTCCTGTGTATGGTGTAAGTTGGTGGTCTATTTTCATTTGCTTTTGCATGAATCTGTTCAATTTAACCCCAAAGCATTTATTGAAAAGTCTGTCTTTTTTTTTTCTACTTTTAATTTTTTAATTGTTTTATTAAATCTTTATTGTTCAGATTATTACATTTTTCCTCTTTTTTCCCCCCATATCTCCCCTCCTTCCAGTTCCCACCCCACCCTCCGCCCTCACTCCCCACCCACTGTCCTCATCCATAGGTGCATGTCTGCCTTGACTCCATTGTAAGTTCTTGTTTCCTCTGTCAAATATTAATTGTGTGTAATGGCTTGGGTCCATTTCTGGGTTCTCTGTTCTATTTCATTGGTCAATATGCCTGTTCTTTTCCCAGCACCAGGCTGTTTTGATTATGGTGGCTTTTGTACTATAACTTGGTACCTAGACTTGTGATCCCTCCAATTTTGTTCTTCTTTCTCAAAAGTGCTGTAGCTATTTGGGGTGTTTTTTGGTTCCATATAAATTTTTGGAGTGTTTGTTCTAGCTCTATGAAACATGCTGTTGTTATTTTAATAGGGGTTGCATTACATCTGTAGATTGCCTTTGGTAACATGGACATTTTACTGATGTTAATTCTACCAATTCATGGACACTGTATATTCTTATATTTGTTTATATTTTACTCTATCTCTTTTTTCAAAGTCTTGTAGTTTCCTCAATACAAGTATTTTACCTCCTGGGTTAAGTTTATTTCTAAGTATCATTTTTTTGTTGTTGTTGTTGCACTGGTAAATGAGATTGTTTAGTTTCTCTTTATCACAATTCATTATTGGTGCATAAAAATATCATCAATTTATTGGTGTTAATTTTGTATCCTGCCATATTGCAAAATTCATTTATTAAATCTAGTAGATTTTTGGTGGAGTCTTTAGGGTTTTCTATGTACAATATCATATCACCTGCAAATATTGACAGTTTTACTTCCTCCTTTCCAATGTACTGTCTTCTTTTCTTTTCCAATTGTAGGACTTCCATTCTGCCAGCTTTCAGGCTATTCTGATTGATGGTTGTTCTGTATTTTAGTTATTATTTTGATGTGGTTGTGGGAGGTGGTGCGTACAGGCATTTACCTATGCCACCATCTTGGTTCTTTCAAAGGCTCTATGTCTGATGATTCATGCTGAGGTGTTATGGTTCATCCCTCTCTCTTCTCCTGCAAACTTAGGGGAAAATGGAAGAGAAAGCGGGATGCCCCCATGTGTCCTGCAGGTGGGACATTGAAACCACATAAGCCCCTCTGTGTGAAGGACCCTCCCTGACCCCACCTTCATCCACAATAAAACCCTGAACCAGTGTCCTTACCTGGGGGTTCCAAACATTTCTTTCCTTTTTGTTCAAAAATATATTTTTCAATGATTTCAGAGAGGAAGAGATGGGGGAGAGATAGAAATATCAATGTTGAGAGAGAGCCATGAATCTGCTTCCCCCTGCATGTCCCACACTGGTATTGAGACTGCAACCTGGGCACGTGCCCTGACCAGCAATGGAACTGTGACTCTCAACCACTGAGCCATGCCACCAGGCAGCCATTTCTTTTTTTTTTCTTTCTTTCTTTCTTTCTTTCTTTCTTTCTTTCTTTCTTTCTTTCTTTCTTTCTAAAATTGGAGTTTCCATCCTATATTTAATGGGAATTAACATTTACAGGGTGCATTGCATTTACATATCCTATAATACAGGAATGATTTCCCTTTGCCAGAAGATAAAATTGTAAATTTTCTGCTATTTCTTCGTTCCAACTTGATAATTTCTTAAGATTGTAAACTATATAGTATCTGGCTAAAACATTTCTTTCTTTTTTTTAAATATATTTTATTGATTTTTTACAGAAAGGAAGGGAGAGAGATAGAGAGTCAGAAACATCGATGAGAGAGAATCATCGATCAGCTGCCTCCTGCACATCTCCTACTGGGGATGTGCCCGCAACCCAGGTACATGCCCTTGACCGGAATTGAACCTGGGACCTCTCAGTCCGCAGGCCGACGCTCTGTCCACTGAGCCAAACTGGTTTCGGCATAAAACATTTCTTAATAAATAGTTACAAAACCTCCCAAAACACAAGAAGAAAGTATATTAAAACAAAAAAACAAAAAAACAAAAAACCTGACATTTGGATGTCACACAACGCCACAAACAATGCTTAGAGACGTGGTGTTGTTCCAGAAGAAAGTGGGTCAGTGAGCTACTAAGCTGAATATAGAGACTGCCCTTCTCCAGGATCATATTGCACAAAGAAAAATGTCAAACGACAGTACCTCAAAGCAAAATAAAGGTCTGAGGATGAAGCCAGCTCACTTGTAATCATGTTAAAAGAATGAGAGTCACCGTTTAGACCCAATGTACTGGAAAACATTTGCTAGCTCAGAATACCATATTTGTAAAATCTACTAAGAAGTCAGCCAAGGATGCTGAAGGCATTCGCCAGCAGAGGCTTGTTTTTCTGGAACCATTTCTAACATCGGAATCAGGAAACCTGTAAACTGTGCAGCATCTCCATGGGGACACACATACTTTTCCACAAGTACATCAAGGAGGCTCCAGGGCTTCAGCTTGGTGATGTGCCGCAGTTCTCCTCTGCGATTGAAGAATTTCCTAGAGTATTTTCCAGATAGAGCAAAGTGCCCTGGGATACTGCATAGCAGTTCTATGATATGGCCTATGTGGTCTTCCTGTCTGGAACAGTCCTCTCCAGAACGCGGTTCAAACAAATAATCGCCCGTCGTCAGCTCAAATGCCATACACACCATGCTCCAGGTGTCAGCAGGTGTGCTTTAACCTGCTCCTATTAAAACCTCGATGGATCTGTACTGACATGTCTGAATGTCTTCTGTGAAGTGTGTATGCACCCAACAAGCACCTCACAGGTCAGCAGTCTTTACTCTAACTTTATAAGTGTTCCATGGATCCAGAGGGATTCACCAGTAAGTCTGCTACCTGTGTTTTGTTTGGTGGCAAATCCCCAGTGCCAAAGGCCAAAACCATCCTGCTCTTGTCTTGGGATGGGCTGTTTTCCTCCTGCTCAGTAAGCGGGATTCCTCAGAAAGTGCAGAGCCACAAGCCACAGGTTCTAAGGGCCTAGAGGACAATGAGGTGGAAAACTCTGGAAACTGAGACTTAGGAATTTTATTCCATCCATTTGGCAATTTACCATTGAATTGTTCATAGGAGCTGGTATACATGTAATCACTTTCTGAGTTTGGCTCATCAAAGTTATACTCCTCGGAGTTTGGGCAATCTTCTTCATCATTGTCTTCATCGTCCAGCTGCTGCTCCAGCAGGAACAGGCCATTCCCAATGTGGTCATTGGTTTCAGGTGATTCTATCCAGGTGGGGTCTATCTTCTCGAGCTCCTGTTCACCATCGTCTTCATCTGCTCAATGTTTTCTTCCTCAGCATCTTCTTTCTCTTCCTGGTCCTCAGCTTCACTGTTGTTAAGCACAGGCTCTGCCTCAGCAGCCTCTAGTGCTTCTATTTTTAGTTTCACCTCTGGGCGGTATTCATCATCTTGCTCCTTGGAAGGTACGGCTGATGTGACATTTTCTTCTATTGTTTTCCTTTTGGCTTCACACTCCAATTCTTCCCAAAAGCAGGTGCTTTTCCAGTAACTCAGCCTGCCTTTTCTGCTGCTTTTTTGTTTTTAGAATTTTTTCCTATAGGTTTATGCTGTGGAGCCGTACTCACTGCAGTCCCTGAAGGAGGAGGAGCACCGGCTTTCTGCCATTGCATGGCCTCAGCTGCCATTCTTCTCACGTGTGCATCATCACACACATTAAGATGTCCCCTGGCTTGATGTCAGTATGAATGATCTTGCATTTCCTGTGTAGATAATCTAACCCCGGCAGTACCTATCAAATGATACTCCTCACAAAACATAAAGGAAGGCCTTGATAGCTGGGCTTGATAATCCATTTGAGGAGATGGTGGCCAAGCACTTAGAAGAACATGCAGACATGTATTCCATTCATACTTGAAATCTTGAAGTCATCAATTAGCTGTACTACCATGTCTTTACTTGGGTCACTGGAATCACTTTCTAGAACATATTTGAGCAATTTTATTTAATCCAAGGCTGTCTCTGCATAATGCTGGGCACTTTTTACAAATTTCATTGCAACAAGTTTTCCCCCTGCATGTCCCAGCACAGCCAGACAGTAGAGAAGTGTCCCCATCCTAACTTCCTAGTAACATGATACTGACCATTGAAATGGTCTCCATTTTCACAGGATGATGGCCACCTTTGCATTAGTCTGTGGGGTCCTCCTGCTCCTCATTGTTTGAACCCAGGATCTCCTCAGCTGGCTCTGGGAGCTTGGGGTCTAGCAGAAGTGGCTGTGGTGGCCGAGGTGGTGGTGGAGGAACTAAGGGAGCATTTTGTTGAGGCTCCGGCCTTTCTGAAGAGGACAACTTCTCAGAGTTAACTGACATCAGCAGCTCAATCTTCTGCTTGATTTCATTTCCTTTACTCAATCTGCACGACAGCTTATCATCCACCATAGTATTCCCAGTAGTCACTCATTTTTATTTTTTCGGATGTTTTTCTTTCAGCCTCTGCTTTCAGGCCTGAATTTCCAGCACTTTCCTGGAGCTCTTTCCGACACAGGGGAAGTGGCCAGGCAGCCATTTCTGACTCTGAAAAGTGTTGGTTTTGTACTTGGGATAAAGCCTGAAACCTGGGCTTGTGCCCTGAGTGCCAATGCATCTCTGACCACTGGTTCATAGGTCAGTGCTCAACCACTGAACCACACTGGCCGGACTCAAGATTTTCTTTATATATTTAAGTCCTCCATTGTTAGGTTTATAAATGTTTACCATAGTTATAGCCTTTTGTTGGATTGCTCCTTTTATTATTCTGTAGTCTCTTTCTTTGTCTCTTACTTTAGTCTTTGTTTCAAAGTCTATTTTTGTCAGATGTAAGTATTGATATCCCAGGTGTTTTTCTTTCATATCCATTTGTATGAAATTTCTTTTTTCATCCCTCTACTTTTCTCTGTGTGTATCTTTCATCCTGGAGTATGTCAGTTGTGGACACCATATATGTGAGTCTTGCTTTCTTATCCAATCAGCTACCCTATGTCTTTTCATTGCAGCATTTAATCAATTTACTTTTAAAGTGATGATTGATTGGTACATATTTATTGCCATTTTATGTTTTCACCTCTGTATTTTTTCTTCTTTTTCTTTTCATTGTCCTCCTCCTCCTTTTTTTTTTCTTTTCTTTTTCTTTCTTTTTTTTTTTTTTCTAGCAGACCTTTAACATCTCTTGTAATACTGGTTTGATGGTAACAAACTCCTTTAGCTTTTTCTTGTCTGGGAAACTGTTTTGCCTTCAATTCTAAAAATGTTGCTGGGTAAAGTAGTCTTGATTGTAGGTTCTTGCTTTTCAACACTTTGAATATTTCTTGCCAATCTCTTCTGGAATGAAATATTTCTGTTGATAAACCAGCTGACATTCTTATGGGAGCTGCACTGTGGTTAATTAACTACCTTTTCTCTTACTGCTGTTAAGATTCTCTCTTTGTATTTAATATTTGTCATTTAAATGATCCTGTGTCTTGTTGTGGGCCTCTTTGGGTTCATCTTATTTGGGACTCTCTGTGATTCCTGTACTTGTGTGTCTTTTTCCTTCACCAGTTTAGGGAAAGTTTCAGTTGTTATTTCATGAAATAGGTTCTTGATCACTTGCTCAGTGTCTCCTCCTTCTGATACCATTATGATGAAGAAGTTGTTTCATTCCATGTTGTTCCAAATTTTCTTAAAACTATCCTAATTCTTTTTCATTATGTTTTTCTTCTCCAAATGTTCTCTCCCACTACTTTTTCTCCCAAATCACTGTTTTGATCCTCTGCTTCATCCAACCTACTTTTAATTCCTTCCAGTGTATTCTTGATGGCAGATATGGTGTTCTTCATTTCAAACTGGTTCTTATTCAGAGTCTCTATGCAATTTTTCATGCCATTGTAGTTCCCACTAAGTTCATTGAGCATCCTTATAACCACTACTTAAAACTCTATATCTGAGAAATTGCTTGCCTCCATTTGATTTAGTTCATTTTCTGGAGATTCCTCTTGTTTGTTCTGGGGCCTGTTTCTTTGTCTCCCCAATATGGCTGTCTCTTTGTGTTTCTTTCTATGTATCAGATAGAACTGATATGACTCCCAGTCTTTTTGGGAATGTTTTAGGAAGTAGGTGTCCTGTGAGCCCCATTGGTGCTATCTCCTTGATGTCTTGAGCCTGATGCTCTGGAATGTCCCTATTGTGAATTATGTGGGCCCTCTTTTCGTAATTGGGTCTTGATTTCTCTTGTCCCATTCATGGCTTGTATTGACCTTCAGACTGGCTCACTGTGAGACTCAAACCAGACCACATCATGGAATTGTTATACAGATGTCTTCAAATAATACAATACAATACAATACAATGATAAGAACAAAACACCATCAACACCATGAATAAAAACTAAAAACAAACAAATAAACATGAATGAAAAATTAAAAATAGAATAAAGAAAGAAGAACAAGAATAGCAAAAAATTTGAAAGGAAAGACGGAAAAATAAGGGATGAGGAATGTAAATGGGAAATAATAGAATAAGAAAAGAGAAAAATCCTGCCTAATAAAGAAGAAACATGTTTATTGACCCTCACACCATCACAAAATATGGTGGTGCTCACGGCCAATAAGGAGGGAATATGCTAATTGCCTGCGCCACCCTCAAAGATGGTGGCACCCACAGTCACAAGATGGTGGCACCCAGTCTTCTTAGCCCCGCCGGTGTGGCAGGCATGTGGCAAGGCCAAGCCCACTCCCAGCCTGGGTCACAGGAAAGCTTCAGAAAGCAGCTGCCCAGCTGCCCAGAGCCGTTGAGGCTCAGGTAACCAGGGCCGGCCAAGGCTTGGGCTGCTGACAGTGGCAGCAGCAGAGATGCGATGGGGGCATCGCCTTTCCCTGATCACCCAGTCACCTCCTGCCCCTGCGGGCTCCTGGACTATGAGAGGGGGCAGGCCGGGCTGAGGGACCCCCACTCCAGTGCATGAGTTTTCATGCACTGGACCTCTAGTAAGAAATATAAAAGACAGTAGGAAAAAAAAGAAATTTAAACTATAATGAAAAGAATAAAAAGGAAAAATTGGGGTTCACCTCAATAGAGTATGTTTTACCTGCTGTAATCTCCCTTTGGATATGCTGTGTGTGAAGCTTGTTGGATGCTGCTCCAATGTTGTCTGAAGATGGCTAGTGGGTGTGCTGGTTTAGGGCCCCCTGGGAGGTTCTCTGGTGAAGGCAAATCTTAAGTGTTGTCTATGCCTAGTCCTTGACAACCACTTTGAAGATATAAGTGACTCACAGTTTGTGGTGCCTCTGCTGGGCTTGGCTGTGCATAGAAAGAAACAAGCTGAGCACCAAGCCTGGTGTTTACCACCACAGAGTCCAGGGTGGGGGTCAGCAAATGTCCCAAGGCACCCCTGGATCCTCCTGTTCCTGCCTCTCCCTGCTGACTGGCTGTTAACCTCCGTATCTGGAAAAGCTCAGTCTCTTAAAGAGCCTCTGGCAGAATCAGGAGAATGGGGCTCTTAGGAAGTACTGATCAGACTTCAGGGAAGATGGTGGGTGTGTTCCCCTGCTCCAGAGCCACTTGTCTGAGTCTGTCCCTGATTTTACCCTGAACTTGGTACCTTGGAACCCCTGGTGGTCAGGTGGGTGGGGACTTTGCAGACCAGAGATTGGGTCTCCCAAAGAGCATTTTTCTCAGATCTCCTGTGAGGAGCAGGCACCAGTGAGGTTCATGAGAAAGTGGGTCAATGGCCTCACCAAAGCCAGTCTCTGACACCTCCCGATACTTCCCAGATGTCTACACCAGGCCTATGCCCCTGACTCCTCAGCAGGGCCTAGGATGCAGGGTGGGGTGACAGGGTTCCAGAGGTGGGGGATTGCTTTCCCCAAGCTGATGCCATTGGGTGGGGATAGCTCCTCCCAAGAAATATGGCTGCTGAGGAATGGAGGAGGGCCCAGTACAGTGTCCTGGAGGCTCTTCCCCACGTCCCTCCCCAAAGCCACCCATCCTGACTCTCCTCAGGCTGGTGCCTTCTGACTGCCCTCCTTCCCTTGGAGCACAGCAGGACTGGTTGCTAACACTCATTTTGCTCCTTGGCCTTTAAAGTGGTGGCTTTGTCTCCAGCAGGCTCTGCCTCTCCTTGGCAAACAGAAACCTACCTGCGTTTCACAGCTGGGTGCTATGTTGTTGCCTATTCAAGTCTCTGGCACTCCAGGCAGGGGCCTGGTCTTGGTCTGGGCTTCACACCTCTCAGGGTGAACCTCTGCAGCTGAACTATCCCTCTATCACCTTGGCCTGACAACCAGGGGAGAGGGGCCAGCCTCTTTTGAGTGTCCCCCCTTCCTTCTAGTCTCCAGGTGGTTTCTCCCAGCTCCTTGGTTAAATGTCTCCTCTTCAGATAGCCTTTAATTGGTAATTCAAGGTGATTGAGTCCCAATTTAGTTGTAATTTCCAGTTGGTTCTGGGAGGAGGTGAGAGTAAAATCCACCTACATCAAAACCACGTTGAGCCCTCACCCTCTGCATTTCTCTTCCTGCAAACATGAAACTTCAACTGTGCTGCATGTGAGAGTGTTTCTACTAATATAGTATAACTGTTGAAACACAGAGCCATCAGTGGTAGTCACAGAGGCATATATCTAGAGAGGCTCCTGGATAAACTGTTATATGGAGAGGAAACCCAGAGCCCTCAGAGGAAACTGCCATAAATACCACCTGCAACTGCTCCTGGGGCTGCAACACAAAGTCTGTGGGTCCTGTTTGCCCCCTGCTGGTCACAGCCTCTGCTGCAGGGAGGTTTGTGTCTGGGCTCACACTGACTTTCCCTCACTGTGTATGCTTCACAGTAATACACTGCGGTGTCCTCAACTCTCAGGCTGTTCATTTGCAGATACGCCATGTTCTTGACATTGTCTCTGGAGATGGTGAAGCGGTCCTTCACCGAGTCTGCATAGTATTTCTGACTTCCATCAAACCATATAACTGCCAACCACTCGAGTCCTTTCCCTGGAGCCTGGCGGATCCAGTGCATGTCATATCTACTGAAGTTGAATCCAGAGGCTGCAACAGGAGAGTCTCAGAGACCCCCCAGGCTGCACCAAGCCTCCCCCAGACTCCACCAGCTGCACCTCACACTGGACACCTGCAAACACAAAGACATCCTGGTCACGAAACTCACACATCCACTGTTACCCTCACTCATATCCACTCACAATACACAGTGTTTCTCATTCTCCATAAATTACCTCTTAAAATAGCAACAAAGAAAACCCAGCTGAGCCCAAACCCCATGGTTAGTGGTCTGTGTTCAGTCTTGATCAGAGACTGGGAACACTTGGGGATCTCAGAGGTGTGGGGTCAGGGCTGGGCTGTTTTTATGAGGGGTCCTGATTTGCATGTCCACCTCCTATATAGGGAGCTTTGGGGTTGGATTATGACATAAAGGACATAGTCCCAGAGTGTGACATGTCCAAGGGTGCTGTGTGTGAGGAATTACTCAACACATCTGGGCCTGTGCTCCCCCCAGTGGACCCAAAGGCTCCAGGAGACCTGTACAAAGACCCAGGAGAAAAATTTTCAAAAATGAAAAAGAAGAGGTTTAAAATGAGAGATGCCTTGGACAGTCACCAGTAATGACAACCAAGAGAAATCAACCCTCACAACCAGAGAAAGAAGTAAAAGTGCAGGAGGTTCATGTTCAGGAGATGGGAAATTCCATCTGACACTGTTTCCCCTACAAAGTGATCAGAGGAGAAACTAAGACCAGAGTGTGAGCCTAGAGCCAGTGGACCAAGTGTTGGGAGAGAGTGGAGAGTCTGTGTTGGTCCCTGGGAACCAGAAGCATGAACTATAGAGACACAGACAGAGCTCCCAGGTCCAATTTATTCAGATGAGTTTGGTGCTGGACGTGTAGCAGCTGCACTGCCTCCTTTGTGGTATGTATTCTCTAGACTTTGTTGTCAATCCAGTTTCAAACATTAGAACATAAAAGAATCTCCATTATAACCAGAACTGTTTAGGTGAAGTTGCTGGTAATAATTGGGAACCAATTAAGTTTAAGTTTTGGGAATTTAATTATGTAAGGTCTTGATGCAGATCACTGATAGAAACCTGGTCACCCTTATGGGTTCTGCCTTGTATTCACCATCAGGGTCTGTGTCCATGAGGACATGTGACATGGTTCTAACCGGGGAGCAGGAGGGCATGTTGGGCTTTCCTGCTTCATCAGCAGCTCATTTCAGAGGCACCATGTCCTCCCTCTCCAGTGCCTACTCACATCTGCATGTGGCCCTTGGCAGTGCAGTCACCGTGTCTGTACATGATGGGCGTCCCCTGGGACCGGAGGCCCATTCACTGGATGGACCAATGTGCAACATGGGAAAAGCCACCCCGAGGCGGAAGATGAATTACCATGGACGGGAATTCACCACGTCTGAGCAGGCACAGCTCCAGGATTGTCCCTTCATTGTGTGGTGATTTCCTCATTGTTTTCCCAGTTCAGTTTGTCTCCCTTTTTCCTGAAATAGCCACACATAACATCTGCAGTCATTCAGATAAGGAAGCACTGACTTAAAATTTAACCCAAGTTCCAGGTTCCAGGTGAGGTCCAAACTACTGTGCCATGCATCCCAGACAGACAGGTGTCATGGCTGAATTCCAAACAGATTAACATGTGAACACACATATGCTCACTCCACTCTCATGCACACAATTCCCAGTTCCCAGGGAAGAAACTCATCCCAGGTTCCTGAGGGGCAGTGGAGGCCCTGACTCTCAGGGGACTGTGATGGCTGGACCCTGACATCAGGAATATCTAGGTTCTCATCGCTGGAGCCTGTGGGTGTCCTTATATGACAGGACTTTGCAGACATGGTTAAGGTGGGGACGAGGGAGCTAAGTGTTCTAACACGGGGATTATCCTGACTCATCTGCTGGGAGATATCAATAACCACAAGGGTCCCCTTCAGAGAGAAACAAACAAATCAGACTAAAATGAAATCATTGAAACCAGATGTTGGAGTGGGATTGCTCACCCATCCAAGTGAATGAGGACCAGGAGGGAAGCCTTTGGTAGGGAGGATGGAGAGCTGTGGAGGGAGGTCCTGGGGGATGATCCTCGCCGCTGTGGCCCAGGTGGGCCTTTCAGAGGGAAACAGATGGGACTGTCAGAGGGAAACATGGGGACAGGTGGGTCTGTGGGGACAGGGGGCCTGAGGTCAGCACACAGGGGCCTGGGCTGCACTGGGGTCTCTCTTGGTGGGAAGGTTTCCAAAACCCAGGACAAGGAGAGCACTGAGGATGGTTTCCTTGCAGAGAAAGAGAAATAGAAAATACGAAGAATTGTGAAGGAGAGTCCCTGTCACTGCTGACATGTCTCCTGCAAACAGACAATGTCCCTTCTTCATTGAGAATGAAATGTCTGCAGTGAGAATATGAGAAGGAAGAGCCATCCCTGGAGGCAGCTGAGAGCTTGAGAGGAAATCCCTGTGCCCAACAGGAAGCCCCTTCCCTCCCCACCTTCCTCTGCCCCTGCTCCTGGGGCTGCTCTCTGTGCTGTGGGTCCTGAGCACCCCCTGGTGTCCTGAGCGCCCCCTGCAGCCCAGCCCTGCTGTCTCCCTCAGGGAGGTTTGTGTTTGGGCTCACATTGACTTCCCCTCACTGTGTGTCCCTTGCACAGTAATACACGGCCGTGTCCTCGGCTCTCAGGCTGCTCAGCTCCATGTAGGCTGTGCTCATGGACGTGTCTCTGGTCATGGAGACTCTGCCTTGGAACTTCTGTGCATATTTTGTGTTTCCATTGTTAGGGTAAACCCACCCCATCCACTCAAGCCCCTGTTCTGGGGCCTGTCGCACCCAGTGCATCCAGTAGCTGGTGAAGGTGTATCCAGAAGCCTTGCAGGAGACCTTCACGGAGGCCCCAGGCTTCCTCACCTCAGCCCCAGACTGCACCAGCTGCACCTGGGAGTGGACACCTGTGGAGAGGAGACAGAAGTGGGTGGAAATCCTCCTTGATCCTCCCTGATCCGCTCCTTAACCCAGGGACTGGGGAGCCCCTTACCAGTAGCCATGGCCACCAGGAGGAGGGTTCTCCAGCTCCAGTCCATGGTGAGGGGCTGTGCTGTGAGCACTTCTATAGGGGAAGGTGTGGCTGTGGGTGATGCCCTCAAGGCACAGACTTATCCATATTTAACCTAGTCTACTCCCTCTCTTTTGCATATTCATGAGGCAGAGTATTTCATAGCTGACATCTTGGTCCCACGTGAGAGAAGATGGATGACATAGGGACAGGCTCAGTGGAAGTCTGAGGGTCCTAGTCCTTATTCTTGTTTTTCTTTTCTATAAATTATATCTTTATTGTTGAAATTATTACATATGTCCCATTTAATTCCCCATTGACCCCTTCTAGCCTGCCCCAAGACTTCACCATCCTATTGTCTGTGTCCATGGATTATGTATATATGCATTCAAGTTTTTAGTTGATCTCTTGCCACCCACCCACCCTTCCCTGGTTTCCTTCTGAGATTCTGAACTCTGTTCCATGCTTCCATGATTCTGGATCCACTCCATTCATCAGTTTATTTTGTTCCACAGGAAAATATGAGTGAGATTATGTGATATTTGTCTTTCTCTGACTGATTTATTTCACATAGCATGATACTCTCCAGGTCACTCCATGCTGTCTCAAAGGGTAAGAGTCTCTTCTTTGTTACTGCTGCATAGTATTCCATGATATAAATGTACCACAGCTTTTATAACCACTCATCTACTGATGGGCACTTGGGCTATTTCCAGATCTTAACTATTGTAAGTTGTGCTGCTATGAATATAGGCGTGAATACATTCCAGTAACTTTTTATTTTTATGTAGTCCCATTTGTTTCTTTTCTCCTTAATTTCCTTTGCCCTAGGAGATGTATCTGTAAACATTGCTACTAGAGATGTCTGAGATTATACTGCCTATGGTTTCTTGTACGATTTTTATGTTTTCATGACTTTTAAGACTTTTATCCATTTTGAGCTTTTTCTTGTGTATGGTGTAAGTTGGTCTGGTTTAATTTTGCTTGCACATGGCTGTCCCATTTTCTGAACATCATTTATTCAAGAGACTCTCTTGACTCCATTGTATGATTTTGCCTCCTTTATCAAATATTAATTGAGCATAATGACTTGGGTCAATTTCTGGGGTCTATGTTCTATTTAATTGGTCTATATGTCTGTTCTTATGCCAGTACCAGGCTGTTTTGATTACAGTGGTTTTGTAGTATAATTTTATATCCGGTATTGTGATCCCTCAAATTTTATTCTTGTTTCTCAAGATTACTGAGCTTTTCAGGATCTCTTTTGATTCCATATAAATTTTTAGAATATTTGTTATATATCTGTGAAGACCACAGTGGGTATTTTAATAAGAATTTCATTGAATCTATAGATCGCTTTGGGTAGTATAGGCATATTAATTATGTTAATAATATCAATTTCTGAACACTGTATATTCTTACACTTTTTTATGTTTTCCTCTATATCTATTTTCAACATCTTGTAGGTTTCCCAGTACAGGTCTTTTGCCCCCTTGGTTCAATTTATACCTAAGTATCTTAAGTTTTGTTGTTGTTGTTTTTGCAATGCAATGGTAAAAAGGATTGTGTGTTAATTTTCTCCTTCTGAGAATTCATTATTGGTGTATAAAAATAGCTTTGATTTCTGAGTATTAATTTTGTATCCTGTTACATTACCGAAATCATTTATTAAATCTAGCAGTTTTTTTTTTGTTTGAGTCCTTCGGGTTTTCTACGTACAGTATCATGTTAGTGAAGGACAGTCCCCAGTCACTGCCCATATGCCATCTGCCAACAGCAATGTGACCTCCTCCTCTGGTGTCGCCTGTGAGAATACAGGGAATTAGAGCCAAAGCAAAAAAGCAAGAATCCTCCCTGGATACAGCTGACAGCTTGAGCAGGAGTTTGTTAGAAATAAAATCATTTAAGGTCATTCAGGCAGGGATCAAGAGAGATAAGGAGCATGTCACTTCAAACTGGTGGGAAGGGGACCCCTGTTTCCTACATGCACATTCTCACAGTGTCTCTGTTCTAGAAGGTAACACCTTCCCAGGTCCAGGAGATCGGAACTTGGGCACTTTTAGGGTCATTATTGATATGGTCACACCTGGATCACCCAAGCTGTATAATTCATTGGGGTCCCATTTGTAAAATATCGCAATAGTTGCAGGGAAGAGTGGGTATCTCTCGCTGGAGGAGCCATGGTGAAGGTGTGTTTGCATTTGTGCCATAATTTCCTTGGACCAAGACCCGTGTCATT